GCTATACGGCGCATTTTTGAGGATGAGGTTTCTTTTTTTCAAATATTATTCAAAGAATAATGTCAGTTTTCCGACTTCCGGAAAGAATCTAGATACATTTGAGTTGAACGAATCTTTATTGTTGTAAACAAATGATAGTTGCAATCTGCAAGCATTTCAACTCGGCATATGCAATCTCGGCTTTCAAAACAGATTTTGGGGTGGGGAGTCATTGATACTCTTGCCAGCCGGCAGATGCTGCTTGGATTACTTCGGGGCACTTTCGCCTTTCATAAAGGGCAAATTACAAAGGGTGTCTTGACTTCCAGCTTGACTGAGCTGAATTTCTTAACTGAGGGAGGCTCCAAAATTTTGTCCTGTAAGACTGCATCTTCTCGTTAAGTCATTTGTTTTAGGCTAAAATAGTGGATTTTTTAATAAGATTTTGGTTTTAACGAAATATAAATGCTTGCAGCATGATCACCTTGGTCGTCCTCGAAAGCAAAAGTTAACAAAGAACGGAAAATTGGTAATGGAAGTACGAGCGAAATGCTTCAACGCTTCACTAGCCGTACAAAAATATGACCGCTGTCCGACCTGTGCTGAGCACCACAGTATCGCGGTGGTTGAACAGGTTTCGAAAATAATATAATTTTCTCATTCAAACTAGTCCAGTAGCTTGGATTTTCAGTGAATTAGCAGCTGATATGATATCATCATAATTTGGATAGTGACAAAACGAGAGTGACAGTATTTGCTGCTTATGTGTTAAAAGACAACTGCAACGAAGAGTCCGCCGTGAACGAAGCCCTTTGCAGCATGGCAAAGCACCTACTATGTATTTGCTTTTCAGGACAGAATACACCTTTCTTTTTTTGGCTGCCGTCCGTGGGTAGTTTACATCTTTTTCCTTTTAGCAAGTTCTTCCTTACCGGCTTTTCTTGGGCTCCCGGGACAACGGTAAATCAAAATTCATAGGACTACTAAAAAGGCTGGAGAGGCCTGCTGTTTGATATAAACATATGAAAAGGAATGTTTCGATCCATTAGGTTGCATGTGTTCGTCAAGACCGAACAACATGAGTCTAGCTGTAGTACTGTGAACAGAAAAGAGAGAGAAAGAGAAGAAACCGGAAATAAATAGGACTATTGGCGAATAAAAAAGAAAAGGAGCGATATTACCAGTGTAGGCCAGAAAAAATGTTTTGTAATAAGAAGCTGATCAGTTTTTCGACAGAATTTTACATTCTGTATAAATTTAATGGTGGTAGCTGAAGTCTAAGAGATCTGGATCCTTACCATGAATAAGGAATTTCAGGAGTGACGCTCTTCTGTTTTTATGGTGTTTTTTTTTTTCGTATTGTTTTGTTTTTTAGTACTGGTTTTCAGTACACGGATCCAGAAACGAGCAACGATTTATTGCATCGTATCAATGGTAATGATCACTTCATTTATGCGCTGCTGATACTATCAGCATTTACGGCTGTATTGACAACCGGATTCGCTTGCCTCTTTATTGCCTTTCTACATCAAAAGCGGCGCTTGAAAGTATGTACATCCAAGCAGCGCTTGCATTCCGAACCGCTCAATACGATACATACGTTGCATGCTTGCCCCGAAGATACAAGGTATTCACTTTATTATCTCAGTACTAGGAGTACCATGAGTCAGTATGAGGTACTACATGCTATAGTGATATTATCCAAAGTCTTTCAATCCTGCAATCCATTTCTGACTTCCTATTCATTAATTAACAATATGTAGTCACAGCTGTGATCACTCGGTGCTGTAGCAAGCATGCTTATCTGTTATTTATCCAGTACCTTTTGACAATAAGTAACGATGCTTATCGGGATAGTCGCGCTTTGCGCGATTCTATCCAGCGATCGTTTGCCTGCTAAGGATTTTCACTGCTTCACATCCTGGGCTGTGCAAAAATAGTCGGCCTCCTGTTTGGCTTCTAAGTTGCGAAATTACGCTTTAAAAGCTTTACTTACCTGCAGGTGAACGTAAGCGCAATTGAAAGCTGAATTTAAAACGGTGACGGTGAACATCCTGCTAAAATTTCAAACCCCCAATTTTTTCGGCCTCGAAGTTAATAGCTTTTGCGCTAAAACTTTCAGACGTGGTCTTCGTGAATCTTGTTGTACTTTGGGGCTAAATTTAAGTTTGTGAGATCCCTGCATAAGCAGAAAATATCCTCCTGAATTTTCCAGCCTTTTAGCTCTTCTGGCTCTGGACTGAATAATTTTCTTATAAAATTTTCACAGGCCGTGCGTAAGATTCAAGAGCACATGAAAGCTGCAATTGAACTGTTGGGATCATACGAGGGCAAGGGACATCCACCTAAAATTACAGCTTCCTAACTTTCATGGCTCCCAAGATAATAATTTTTCCCGCCAAAACTTTAACGTGGCCGTACGTGATAAGCATTTCCTCTAGAAGTCAGCAGTCGTTAGTGAACAAAGATGGTTAATAGTAAAAACAACTATAACTGCAACTATGCAGACGGACAGCTTGCACACAGCAGTGATATTTTTTACCATAAAATATCATTTTGATCTAAATCCACGAAATCATGACTGTTTGCACGATGCTTTTAGGTACGATGTCCCGTGGGAGCAAGTTTCAACAACATATCGACGACCACCTTACCGAAATTTAAGTAGCAAAGGCAGTTTTACCGCAATGCCGCCCTCATTGATTGGACCAGTCTCCGATGTCACGGCGCTGGCACGACCTGATATCAGAAAAACTTCACCAAGTTCGTCGTTCGGTGCCGAGCGGCATGACGATAGCGGCTTAGAATCTGTTTAGGAGCCAAAATGCTTTTTTACCAATTTGTTGTATTACTGTTTAGCAATTGTAAGAAGCATCAATCCGAAAGCCAGATTTTCGGTTAAGGTTCAAAAAATCACTGACTAATTTATTGGTCTTATTCTGAATTTCCGAGCGCAACCTTTGTTTCTGAGCACATTAATTTTCAGATTGTCATATTTTTTTTTTTACGTTACGCGTTTTAATGACAAATTTTGACTTTGCTTTCGATTTTGTACAAGGTCCACTTAATTTGGCAGTCAGAGCTGGACACTGAAAAATAGAGCATTTTGTTTTTTTTTTTTTTTTTCGCTGAATTTTAATCGTGTTTGCCTGCGTTATAACTGAACTCTGATCAGCTGCGCTGTTTCTTCGTCTTGCTCTAATTCGCCATGGATGCAGCAGCTCTTTCGATTCTTAGAGGAACTCCACAGAAACTTTTAGATGATCGCTTCCAGCGCACTGACGCCTCACCTAGTGTAAAAAACAAAATATTATTTTGTCATAACTTGTGACTATGAACCGCAAATATGCAACCCAGGATCGAGGAATTTGGAATAGCTGCTCTTTGTGCGCATGCAGCTCGATAACATCACTAAATGGTATATCTACACTGGTAGTCCAAAGATTTTGATATTTTCATGTTCAGCGATAAAGTGCCCAAAGAATTTTTTGTGAGTGAAAAAATCACCTTCTTGACTCTTTTTTTTGCCAGTTCATTTTTTACAATCGCTCGTCATTCGTCTCTAATACAGGAGACAAAGCAGTATGCCGGAAGAAATGCCTTTTCAAAAGATGAAATTGATGCCGCTCCTAACTCCCCGAAGGTCGACGGTATCTTTGCACTTCCCAAAAGCATGGTATTTAAATAGTATTCCTAAGTATTAAATATACTGATATTTGCTGTTTAATCAATCCAGTATTAACTAATCTTCCGGTGTGAATTTTGTTTTGTTATCATTTGTACTTGCTTGATCAGTGCTGAAGATTTAGTACAAAAAACTTATTGATTTCGATAATAAATGTGAATAGAGAAACGCAGTAATAACAACATTTAAGAAATGCAGATCAGTTAGGAAAGAATTACAAACGAGAACCAAATGGTTCATATGCTTAAGACTTTTTTACATACAAATCAACAGAAAGATGGCTCTTTCAGGAAGTTTTCAGAAGAAAATTTCCAGCAAATTAGAATACAAAAAAGCCACTTTTTAATCACGGTTATTTGTAAAATCTCGTAAATCCTATGAAAAGCATCCGGAACACAGACTATTCAACAAATCATATACATTTTTTTGGGAACTTTCACTACATTAAATAGTATATTCGTCTCGCATACATCGAGTAGAAGGCACAGATCGAAGGTCTTGGCAGAACTGCGACCGGCGTGTGGGAGCATTCCAGTAACAGTCCGAGCAGTCTTCCTATTGTTATTTTTGTACGATTTCCATTATTATCACGATTTTTTTCCCCTGTTATTATGAGTCCGACTTTTATTGCGAAAAATCAGATTGCAGCGCTAACTAGGCTGCCTATAGCTTTCCGTACCATTTCGCGCGTTGATTAATCGATTTTACATGGCACTTTCTCAGCTCCTAACCGATAGAACGTGCTACAGTGTTTGTTCGGTCAGCTGGGAGAAGAGCGGAGGCATACTACTTTATAGCAATCGCAAGTTCAAATTTTGTGTTGCAATGTGATCTTAGAGGCAGGACACGGAAGAGAAGATTTGCGTTTCTCTATAATCCACTGGACATTGTTGGTATCTTCACTTTATGTACCGGGCTGCTTCATCACACTTGATGAAATACATCCCGGCCAGCGGGAAGTGATTACGAACGGCTTTAGGAGCTCCGGTATTTTTCGAAATGCCATGTGGCATGGCAGTGAATTTATTAAAATTAGCATGGCAGATGATCACAAACCGGGCAAGGCGGAGTCCGAAGTATCCAGGTGGGAACTATGTTCCTAGTATACCGAAAAAACACAGGGTCCGCGAGCGGAAAAAGCAAACACTGCCGATCAGCCAGTTGTCCAATTCATCGCAAAAAAGTGGCGTCGAATAGCCTGAGGTTGATGCATGCAAGTTGGTTTAATAATACAAATTTGAGGCTTGTTTCGAAAAGCTGCACTGCTGCGGATCGGTCTTGAATTGATTAAGTTATGAACATTCGTAGCGCACACCAAATGGGTTAATACGATTATGCGTTTTTGCACTAGGTGGCTTGAACGAACTGCTTCTGTCTCACTGGCTTATGTAGGGATATCTTTGATGTGTCCTGCTTTGTTGCAATGTTTTGTTATGCAAAATGTATGTGTTTTTGTGTCTACATTTTTTTTAGTAGTGCTGTTTATGCGTTCAACTCGGCAGTTAAGCAAAATTCTGTGCTGAAATTTTGCCAATAAGTTTCCCAGCCAATTGCTACCCCGGAACCGCGGAACCGACCCTCGCGCGCGTCTCAGCCTCGCGTGCTAAAATTCTGGCGAAAAAAACTGCCAACTTGAGAAACAAAAAAGCTAAAAGGCTGAAATTTTAAAGAGATGTCCCCTATTCACATACAAGTTAAAGATTTCGAATTCAACCCCTATGCCTCAAACGTTTTGGCGAGAAAATTGCTCACTGAACAGCTAGTTCATTTACAAAGAACAATCGTTCGACGGAAATTGTTCACTTCCTTTTATGCAGCGCACAAGATAAGTGTAAAGCAAGAAGCATTCATATAGTTAACGACCTAACTGCTTCAAGTTTAGAGCAAAAGCGCATGATCGCACCGGCAACCTGGGGCCTGGGACATGTGGGAGCATCCGAATGACATTGGTAGCATGGATATTCGGGCTGATTGCTTTAATGGTCTTGATTTTTTTGACATATGCCTTTGATTTAAACTTTGCGTTCATAGCGCAATTGAAAACACTAAGTATTGAAGTGAGGTGCATTTAAACTTCTTTGAAATTCAGCAACAATTCCCATACCTGCAGGAAAACTGGGCTACTTCGAAATATTATAAGTGCACGATCCCCTGGAATACAAAGATTACTACTACGACAAGAGCTTTGCGACAAAGAATATCAAAATTACGTCCGAAACTTCATAGTTTACTACTATGGAAAACGAAAGCTTTGCGAGAAGCCTGATATAATACATTCACTAACCGAACGTATAATGCAGAAAAAAATTTTCAAAAATAAACTAACAACACATTGGAGTGGTGGCATGAATATACACGTTTACGCTGTTACTTTCTAAATGCACGTTGTGAGGTTGTCCGCTGGATCATACGGGAAATGGTCGTGCACAATAATTATTGTCGGAAAAATCATTAAAGATAACGGAAACCGTAAATTTGGCTTATTTCACTTAAAAACTTTCTCAGCGTGCACAAAAGGAATTAGTTTTCATAGCTCAGCTTATATCGCGCATTTTTAGAAGCTTAACTAAAAAGTATGCAGTTCAGAATCAAAGAGCCGCCGCACAGCTTGCTACTTCGAGCGTGTGGAAGTGTCTCAGTAACATCACGAGCATGGAATTTCCGTCCAGGCTTCTTTTGACAGCATCTACTGCTGATAGCAAGGTAAATGTCCAAGACGCACGAATGCATTTCGGTCAGGATTGGATCAGGACCTGACCAGAAACTTCTGGATGGCTCAAAAAGTCGCATGTGATGTTAATTAGTAAGCTTTGGGCTACCGTAGTCTTGCTACAACATGCATCGGAAGAATTCCACCGTAGCGTCACCGTCGATTACTGTTGTAGGAGACGTTGTCCAGACTTTTGGCGTCTTTTTGATTAACGGAAAGCTTGGTCTAGACCGGAACGTAGTTGACGGCCCGTGGAATCGCAACCTGGTTGCCGGCTTCTGCATTCCAGTAAGCATATTTATTGCTGCGCGCCCATCAACAGGTGATCCTGTTTTTTTCTGACCCACGCTATGTGCTTGCGACAAAGGTGAAAATATTGGCGCTGCTGCTGCTCGATGTGCTAAAATGAGTTGATATTGAAATTTCAAAATCTCTCGATAAGACTCCGTCAAATGATCAATTTTCGAGTAAAAAGGCTGATTTTTTCGTTTTCTTTGTTTTACCAACATCACAACTGTCATACGGTTGGGGCCCGTGTTCCAGTTGTAGTGCTGGGTAAGACTTACGGCCTGAAAATCTCTTTTATCCACTTGTGCTTTTTTACATAATAAGCAAACGCAAAAACGCATATTGCAAGAAAATATGCGTGTGCTTCTGCGGGTTCATGTATTTACAATGTTTGCCGCTCACTTTCGACTCCAGAACCAGAGAGGCTAGAAAGCTGAGACTTCGAAAGTACGTTCGACCTCCCATATTAACATTATCATTCGCATATGTTTGGGTATCGCGTATGGACCCTCAAAAAAAAATTTGAAGATATTCTTTGTCTTTGCGGTGACGAAAGATTTCAAATTCAGCTTTAACGGGCGAACACATCTTGTGTACGCACACATCAAGGATGAAATTTTGCAGTCATTGATAAAATGCCAATCCAGAAAATAAGTTGATTAGAATGTTCTAACTTTACGAAAATATTTCCTTCCCGTGATTGAGCTTGTGGACAATGATCGTTGGGGGGTTTTTTTTGAAATACAGTAGAAACTCACCGTATCCCTCGCCTCTGATAGGGAATTTTAGTTGCTCCTGTATCACAAATTTGTTCGATTTTGTGTCGAAATGTGCATAAAGACGAATGGGCGATCCATTCTGTAGTCCCTGTAACCAGTAATTTACATAATTTAAAGGATTTCGGATAGTGATCTTGGTTCAATTCTATAGCAAAGAAGCTCAAAACTGTTTAATATCTGGAATTTATCAGTTGCCCACCTGAGGTATGATCGAATTTCCAAATCCTAATCCGGTAGAAGAGGTCGTTGTTTTATCGTTTTCTACTGCTAGAGGCTGAAACAACAAACTTTATATTGTCCATAAGTCTAAAAGAAATTTTTCTTATGAATCCAAAAATCCTTTTTTCAAACTGTAGTTACATTTGCTCAATTTAGTAAATCCTTCGGCTGCAATTCGTGGCCTGGTTCCTAAGCTATTTGGACGGCAACTTATCCAGCTGCTTTAATCTGATGATCACTGTGCTGGCCACTCTCACAATTTTTGAAAAAATCTATATCCAAATATGCATGAAATTGGAACTTCTTAAATATTATTGCAAAGACAGCTGACATAAACAAAAGAAAACAACGAAATAAATCACAGGCCAGGAAATTATATAGAAATAAAAGCCAATTATTGATGAATACTAAAGGCTAATTCTTACAAACTAATTTCAAATGCTCTGCGGTATTTTGACCAAGGCTTGAAAAGCATCCGATTGAGAAGTTTACATCAAATTATCTTTATTTTAGGGTCTTGAGTTTTATTCTTTTTCAAAACTACTATTTTCTTTTTTCTTACAAAATTTGCTCCAAAGAATTTGTCAAACGTAAGAGTAACTCCTAAATTTCTTGCATTATTGGCTTACGTAGCAGCTTACCTTATTAGTATCGTACTGGGCGTAGTCGATATCT